CTATAGAAGAGAGGAAGCAGGTAGAGAGAGCTTAGGAGAGTTGCACAAAGTTACCCAGCGAGAAAAGTGTTGGCGCTGAGAATTGAACCTAGACAACTTTACCATAGAATCTCCATCCTTAATAGCTCTACACTGTATTGCATATACAGCTCTTTTGGAGACTGAGAGGTTATTTGAGACCTTATCAACCCTTTTTTTTGGGGGGGGGGCAGGGAGGAGACTTTTCCATCCAGTACTAATCAATGTTTTTCCTTTTTTATGGGGTAGATCTTTAGACGCAAGCATGGAAAGAAGAAATAGAATATTTGAATCGTTTTCAGAAATATACAACAGTAAACGGACAACTAGCGATTACAGCATATTACGGACCACCTAACAACAAAGTAGTAAAACTCTTTACCTGGAACCGAAATAATATCCCCCTCCCCTCATTTTTATTAAAAGGCTTGCTTTATTTGGAAACTCTTAAAATAAGTGGTCATATGATTAAAAAAAGCAGCGGCGCGCCCCCTCCCCGGCGGCCGGGCGCAGCTGTCCGCACCTCCCCCGCGCCCCGCCACCCGCATTCCAACTCTCTGAGGTCACGGGCCGCCACCGCCTCCCCAGATCCGCCCGCCCGCCGGGCCCTTGTGGGGAGGGACGCCCGGCCCCGGCCGCTCCGCTGCTCCGGCCGCGCGTCCCGTGCGCGTCCGTCCGTCCGTCCTCCTGTCGCCCCGACCCCCGCCCGGTTCCTTTGTGCGGCGCTCCCGGCCCGTCCCACCTCCAGGCCTTTCCCGTCGCCGCCGCCGGACTCTGCCCAGGGGAATGGTCTGCGGGCCGAGGTTTTGGAGACAGGAAGTGAGGCGCGCGAGCCCCATGAGCGCGCCGCGCCGCGGGCTGGCGTGCGGGCGCGGCTGTGGCTGCCGCGCGGCGGGACCCAGGGAGGCGGGCCGCTGAGCCGGGAGCGCGGCCCTGAGGATGCGGGAGCGGGAGCAGGTGAGGGCGCGGGTTCCCGGCCGGCGGGCGGACGCTGGGGCCGAGCGGTGGGGTGTGTCCGCAAGCGGGGACTTCGGAGCGCGTCGGCCAGCTCAGGCGTCCCGGAGGATGGGTCCCGGTTCCCAGACCCCTGGCAGCAGCGTAACAAAGAGAAAAGTCTTCCGTTTCCAGGTTCTCCGTGATCTATTTGGGTTCATTTCTAAAGGGGATCTTGAACTTCTATTCTGAACTCGGTTGACTATTGAGGCTAAATTCTGGATCACGGTTTTAAAAGTCTTAGGCATAGTTGCGTCTCTCAGAATATTAAGTGCGAAATTTGCCGGATAACTTTGGCGAGAAGGCGAGTAGGGAAGGATTGTTTGGTGGTGACTTGTTTTTGGAGTAGAGTGTTTACTCTGGAAAAAAGAATTCTTGGGTCTGCAAATTCCGACTTGTGATTTCTGCAAATCCTGATTAGATTGGCTTGCTCTTGGCATACGCGTCTTATTTTCTTTTTTGCTGAGAAAGCCTTATAATAATAGCGTACTCGCAAACACATTCAAAACACTCCGTGTGCTCTAAGTGACAACCGCTGTATGCCTAATTAGTTGCTGACAGATTTTTTTTTAACTTTGGGATATGACAGTAATTTTAATCTGATAATAGTTGTCTGTTTTGTTCCTAGGGTATGGTATTCTCGAGTATCTACACATAAGTCCGTGAGAAAAATGTTTGATTTAGTGCTGTAGATTTATGTATTACTCTAAAGATGACATATACTCTTAGTGATTATTTTACTTTAAAGTATCATTGGCAAATTTACATGTGGGGAGGATCTTAGCAGGGGTGGAAACGACAGTATTCAGAGTGACTCTATTTGAAAAACTTTTGAAAGAGGATGTGAAAACATTAAAATGAATTCACAAATAGACTGCCTTTTGAAAAGTGGAAAAGAATTTAACATGTAGCTATTATTACATAACAGAATGGTTTTGTAGAGAAAGTGTTAACTAGTTTCTCCTTCAAAAGCGAATTATGAATTATTTGGTTAGTAGAGAAGTTATAATTTTAGACCTTTCAATTTACTGCATATTATTCTACACCTGAAACCCCCCAAAGAGCAACTTATATTTCTACTCCATATGCTAGTGAATACTATATGTAACTGGAAATTAAAATGTGTTAATCGTTGATAATTTTCTAAATTATTAAACAGTATTAACATAAGTTTTCTATAAATAAGCAAAAAGCAAGTTATTCTTGTGGATAGATCTTGGGGAAAAAGGTACCTGACATCGACATGCACACCCACATTGACCCCTCAACTTTCTCAATTATAACATCTACCAAAATAAAGAACATTGACTTTTCTTTATCTCTGATGCTGTACATTTCAAATCTCAGGGACAACTGAAAGTTTTATTCTGCATCTGCTTAATCAGAGCTTTAAGTTAATAATTGTTATATAGAGTAATATCTACTGCCTTCAAGGCTCTTAGGTCTGTCTTTGTAATGAAGAGTCTACCATATTTGAACACTCTTAATACACATCTTTCCTCTGTATATATGCAATATCTTGTCTTTTCACAATACTTAATTTGTCTTACTTTCAGTTATCATAATTTGTATATAAAATTGAAATCCACCACCTCATCTCATGAAAGGTATTTGTGTAGTATATGTGGTATTTTATGTACATCTAATCTTTTTTAAAAATATGTATTATACAAACACTGATGGCCCATCAGGCAATTTTTTAGTTAAAAGTTTATTATTTAAAATTCTCATTTCTTGATTTTTTTTTTTCCCTTTTGCCTCAACTATCTATCTAGTTTATACCCTGAGGTAGGAAGCATTGAAAATCGCAAGTGGAGACCATATCTTTTTATATTTGTATTTCCCCGTTTTAGTATGGTCCTTTTACTTACGGAAAGTACCCAGCAAAAATTTTGTTGTTTAAAACAGCACTTTATGTAGTCCCGGTTGCCCTTTCTCCTCTATTGCTTGTTTTTAGCTTTTATTTTTTGGCTACCTGGGCATAACCAGAATTCCAAAGACAAAAACCAAACCGAAGCACAAACAACAGAAAACAAAACAGAGAGAAAACCGTGGCTCCGTCCTTACTAGAGATACAGCCATGTATATAATTATAGCATGCATGTAATCTCCTTAAGGGCAGCGACGGCTTAGGGTTCGTCTTAGATTTCTCACACCGTCCACTACACCGCCTTGTACTCCGAGATGCAATACACTTTTGTGGAACGGAATTCTAAATGTTAACTTTGGCAAAGCCTAGTGAAATAGCTAAACCCTGTTCTCTAGCTCTGCCGTACCCCAGCCCTGTGTGCCCATCACCTCTGAAACCGAGACGCAGTCAGGAAAGTGGGAAAGAGCAGAGGACGGGGAATGAGGAATCTGGGATCAATTCCCAGTTCAGCCCATCCCAGTGTGAAGCTGAGAAAGCCGCTTCTTTCGAGGCCTGGGTTCTGTCTCCCAGCTGAGAGGATTGGGGGCGGACCTTGCCCCTTCGCGTGGTTCCCCGCCCAAGTTCAGGGTTGCGAGCCGCGGCCGAGCCAAACGTTTCGTCCTCGGGGGCCGTCTCCACTCAGAAGAAAACAAAGGGTGGGAACCGTCCCGGGATTTTGTTGACTCCTTTAGGGGAAAAAACTCCCAGCCGCCGCTCACGCTCAGTTTGCCCCAACCTGGAGTTACCATCAACAGGTGTGTTTTAAAATGTTGTAAATCGCGTTGGGGCGGGGGAGGGGGAAAGTGTCCTGAGGCTCCAAATCGGGAACCAGATGGACCCCCACCCAGACTTCTCCAACCTCCAGCGGGGCTCGAGCTGGGTTCTTTAAACGTTCCCTCCGGGAGCGTAGGGGCCGGTACTTCCCTGGCGCGTCCGTCCGGAAACGTGGCCGCAGACGGAGAGTTCCGGGGCTTCTGAGGCAGCGCGTTGGCCAGGCAACGCCGCCTTCTTTTCCGCTGGGAGGACTCGATGGGAGTCCGAGTCTGAGTTCTCCGCTTGGTCCCCGGCCTCATGGGCTTGTTGAGCCGCGTCCGCCACTTGTTAATTCAGAATGGCGTTTAAGGCCTCGCCCGCCTCGTCTGCTGGCCCGAGGCCCCGCTTAGGTGAAGCCCCACCGCGTCTTCGGGCGTACCCTTCCGGAGGGAAGCCGGGGCCACCCTTTTCAGAATTTCCATGCTTCTGATGGTCACCGGATGACAAGCATCTGTAGGGTCTTTGCCTTGTTTATAAACAAATCAATTTGGTGACGTAAATATTTATAAACTACAAACGGCGCTACAAATGCTTGTTAAGCGTTTCACCTCGCTTGAACCTCGCGACTGCCATATGTTCCAGGAGATTATTCCTCCCGTTTGGGTTCAGGGTTAATTTGTTACGTAGGTGTTTTGCAGTGTTCTCCCTTAAGGGCTAAAAGAACCCTGACCTCGGGTGTTTTGGGTGAGCCAAAAAGCGACTAAAACAAAACAAAACAAAACAAAACAAAAAAACCCTTTTAACATAGAGCCACTAATACGAGCTACTAAACTACTAAATTTGGCGTCATCTTCGTTGCCAACCATTATCTCATTTAATCCCCTAGATAGCCGTAGGTGGTTATCACTATTTGTAGGATTGAATGAGGGGTGGAGTCTGACCCAGGGGCTAACTCGTCTGATGATAAACTTCCTCACATGCCTCCCAGATCCCGTTCTTGCCATCTTTTTCCAGAAGAGAGGGAAAGCTTATTCTTTGGATGCAACCTTATTGATTTGTATTTTTATAAAAACTCAGTTCAGAAGTTGCTATTGCCTATGTCACTGGTGTTCCTCTTTCCTCAGCACTGGCGTGGATGCTCTCTTCACCCGGCCTTTGGGGACTCATTTGCTTTTTGATGGCGGCAGCCGCTGCTGGGTGAGCAGCCGGAGACTGTACGGTGCTCCTGCGGTCAGGTCAGGAGAGGATCGCTTTCTCCCGCCGTCACTACCACCGGATTGGGGCGGTGCTTTTCCCTCTTCAACCCCTCCACCCTCGAAGGGAGAAGATGCCACTGCCATTCGGGTTGAAACTAAAACGCACCCGGCGCTACACGGTGTCCAGCAAGAGCTGCCTGGTTGCCCGGATCCAGCTGCTCAATAACGAGTTTGTGGAGTTCACGCTGTCTGTGGAGAGCACTGGCCAGGAGAGCCTGGAGGCTGTGGCCCAAAGACTGGAGCTGCGGGAGGTGAGACCCCCCCCCCACCCCCCCCTCCCCACCAGCCTGGCAAAAGGCTTGCAGGCTTCTCTAGGCTGGCTTAGCGCCTTCTTTCCCATTTTAGTGCTTGCTGGCTCTGTGCTCTCCAAGTATGTCCCTGGCCTTGATGTCCGAGCCTGCAAGCCCCCCTCCCTGTGAGGAAGGAATAGATACAGAGCAAAAGGTCTTCTTTTGAGTGTGCCCCATAAGATAATAGTGTCTGAGTTTTGAAAGTGCTTATATTTGTTCCCTCAAAATGCAATCCAAAATCAGATTAGTAATGCATTTAGGATTTTCCAAGTGCTGGTTTTCTAATACCCCAAATGGGTCATCTTGATCTAGTACACTTTACTGACTTCATTCGTTCAGTATCCATTGACTGTGTTGCACAGTCCATGCCACAATTATAAAGACATACCGCCTGAGTTTGAATTCTGGTTTCCCCACCGACTGGTTGTTTAACCTTGGAAAGTTATGTTCCCTCATCTGAGCCGTGGGGATAGGGATAACATTGGTGCCTAATTCTCACAGTGGTTGTGTGATTTAAAGTGCAAATAAAGTCAAAGCTCTTTTTTTTTTTTTTAACTTTGTATTATTTTT